CCCGGGCGGAGCCGCCTCCGCGGTGGGAGCAGGGGGAGGGCGCGGAGGCGGCGCCCGGCGAAGACGCGGCGGAGGCGGCCCCGGGCTGCGGGCGGGCGCAGTGTTCGAACGGGGCGGCCGCGGCGCCGACCCCGCATCCCGGTGAGGACCGACCCCTCCCTTCTCCCCTCCCTCCCCTCCTCCGCGGGTCCCTCCTCCCCGCACGGCGCCAGCCCCGGGTGTCTGACGGGGCCCGGTGTCAGCCGGCCCGGGCCGCGGTGAGCGCGGGCCCCGCGTCCCCATCGCCCCGCGCAGGGAGCGAACGCCGGCSAGCGCTGCTGATCCACGGCAGCTCCGAGCGCTCCCTGTCAGGGCCTCCTGCACCTTGTGCGGGCGCCGCGCAGGGACAGCGGCTCGGCTCTCAGCCCCGAAAACATTGATTCTGCTGTGTTGCTGGCAAAAAGTTATTAAAAATGAAAAATCATAAGACCGGTTTCTTTTTCATAATCTCTGCCGTGTTAATTATCTTATTTCCGATCCTTTGAAACTTGTACATAAAGCTCAGGAGCACCAGTCTTGACCAGTTCTTTAAATAACGTCRAGTGACAGTCTTGGTTAAGATTTCAGTGACTGCAGCACGAAACTGAACTATAATCTTGYTAAAAAGTTTCTTTCAGATCGTACTTGAAGTGTACTGGTGGGCAGCATCACTGTGAAAGTACCTCACAATACAAACAGATCGGGTTTGAGTTGTTTCTTGTTGGAGTTGTTCATTTTGGTTTTGGGTTTTTTTTTTTTTAAGCAGTGCTTTGAAAGGCTTATTAAAATGTATCAGACACTGCATTCTGCCAGTACAGTCTCTACATTTTATCCTGGAATGCAAAGATAATTTATCTTTAGGTCCCTAGTAAAACTCTACAGAAAATGTCTRTCTGTGCAAAAGCAATGCAAAAGCAACAGAGTTGTAGGATAAACCTGGAACAGCCTCAGTATTTAAAAACCCCATTTGAAAGTTCAGACCAAAGTTAATGATCTCTTAGCAGTGCCTCACACAAAGCCTTTAGCTCAGGTCCCTCACATCCTCAGGTATGTTTTGCTGTGGCTGGCTTAGTTCCGGCAAGCATTACTCTCTCTGGTCCTTTGAGGAATACRCAGTGAATGTATTCCTCAGTGTTACAAAGTGTTACTTTATCCTGCTTGTATCTGTCGCTGTTTCTTCATTCCCAGACRCTGTGACYTGTATGTGAGGTGTCTYTCACAGAGTAAGCTTCGGTTCTTGATACAGAAACCCTCTAAGTTGCTTAAGTTAAACTCGCACCTCACAGTTACTGATGTCTACTAATCCACTTTTTCCTTCTCCAAAATGCTTAATATYGTCACTGACTTCATACATAACGAGGTGGAACTGGAATGCTGTAAATACACAGATTAATAGGAAATTGTAATGTCCATGAGGACCTGTGGCCTCAGGAGGACAAGACAGCAAAAACAAACAGCAAATTTCTGTCATCGACCTCTTTTCGTTCTAATAAAAAACAAAGAATTTATGCCAACAAGGGAAAGAACAACACAACCTCCAAATAAAAAAAGGGTGACGGGTTTTTTTTTGTGTTCTTTATTTGAGAATCAAGTGGAGTAACAGCTAAAATAGTGCAAGGGGTTCTTAATTTCTTCAGAGGGAGACTGAAAACTATTATAGTGATTCCTGGCTTTAGAGAGCACAACTGAAATTTGTTCTTTGTTCATATCTTAGATTTTCAAAAAATTAAGCTACAGCTGCTGAGGTTATTTCTAATAAAGCCAATAAAAAAGGTTTAGTAATCTAAATTCTAATAAGCTGCTCAGGTTACAATTTCGATCTTCCCTTCAATGTGAACTCAGAACTAAGTGTCTTGTTGTCCTCTGGACATCGAGGTCTGAGATGAAGTCAGATTGAGTTACTCTGGCTTAAGGATGGGTTGAGCTGAGCTGCCTGTAGCTCTCTGAGCCAAACCCAGCTGCAGTGGCAAATGGGTGACAGAAACTTAGTGAAGATGGTTCAGAGGAGCTTGTTTTGTCTCACAACTGAAATATCATAAAGTCATCTGTTGCAGCTCAGCTGCAAGGTCACACCCTCACAAAATTCTGTAAATTTGTTGTAGCAAATGCGCGTTTGTGGGTTTCTTTCAAAATGCTGTTAAAATGCTGTAAAAACCTAGTCAAAGACCATTTTCAGTGGTGACACATTTTCATTTACCCAGYTTTTCAGTGAGCTGAATGCAGGGAGAATTGTTAGGGAAAGGCATTTTTAAAGATACTTTCAAAACATTTGGATTTTTTTTCTATGATGCAATGTCCATAATGCCCAGCACTTTAGAGAATGAGATTTCACCAAGGTCAGCACCCACCTCTCTGAAGTCCAGCATTAAGACAGCAAATCCTGCAGCAAATCTGCCTACTATCTGAAAGTGTATCTATAAACATAAGAAAAACAGACATTTTCTGTGCCTAAGTGAAGAAATTACCTATTGAGCATGTGATTTTAGTTTTGATGATGCATTTAAATATATACCTGTGCCCTTGGGCTGGAGTGTAACACCCTGGTCGTGCTGTCTTGCAGATAACTTCCTCTTCAGCGATGAAATCATAGCCAATGGTTTTCACTCCTGTGACAGTGATGAAGAAGACAGAGCCTCTCATGCAAGTTCTAGTGACTGGACCCCAAGACCACGTATAGGTAGAAGCCTGAAGCATCTTTTTAAATGCTCTTTACCTTTGAATAGTCACTTAATTCTCCCCAGTTGTCAAATGATTTTTCCTGTTGCAAAAAAAAATTGGCAGTTAGTACTTCTGAACAGCTTAGAGGTGTTGGCTGTATTCTGTATGTTATTTAAAGAGTTTAAAAATGAACCCCCTGAAACTTGCTGTATTTTGATGAAAATTGTCAGTGTCTTATTTTTTAGTAGAAATCTTGCCATGATCCCTATTAAAAGCATACACACTCACTGAATTGAACTGATGTATGGAATATTTCTAGTGTGCCTACTTAGTATTAATTCTTTAACGAGCAAGAAGATGATCATTGTATGATATAAGGACAGTGAGCCCTAATATGGAGTGTTTCTGGAAAGACTGATTTGGCTGATTTGGCTTTAGGAGGTCATGTCCAAAATAATTCATGTTGGATGACCAAAAGAACAACAAAAATCCATGGATTGTTGTGCTTTMTGTATCTATTTAGAGTGATGGCTTATACCACTAGAAMGTGTATSTATGCTTGTTGTSTCTTCAGCTTATTCCTGTAAATAAYGAATGTTGGGAAMATACAGATGGTGACACRTTGTGAAAATCCTGCTGCACCTCTAAAAGCCATTAAGTTTGCTCTGGAATTTCTGCCTTGACTGASCTATTAAATCCTTCATGGGTTAACATAAAATAATGATAAACAAATAAAATCCCCAGCTCTCATTTCAGAATACCAAAATACAGACAGGATGGTTGATGAATGGAGCATTGAATTGGATTCCTGAAACTGTATAGCATGCATTAATAAATGAAACAATGACCATGATCATCTACATTACTTGACTCTATTTTAATAATTTGTATTTTTAAAATTTTCTTAGGTCCCTACACTTTTGTTCAGCAGCATCTCATGTTGGGTACAGACCCACGGACGATTCTGAAGGACCTGCTGCCAGAAACGATCCCCCCACCTGAACTGGATGACATGACTCTGTGGCAAATTGTCATCAACATTCTTTCAGAGCCACCAAAAAGGAAGAAGAGGAAAGATATTAACACCATTGATGATGCTGTGAAACTTTTGCAGGAATGCAAAAAGATCATGGTRTTGACTGGAGCTGGGGTAGGTATTRCTGCAAYAACMGTGGGAAAATATGGAGACTAAGGCTGCTTGAATAATTCAGTACAGCATCCAGGGGATGGAACCAAATCACTGTGCTGGAGGGGGAAGAGTCCAGTCCACTGCAAGGACTGGAGCTGACATTGGAAATTACACCATCTCTCTTATAACAAATTATTAGACACAGAAACTTTTAAATAGCTGCTTCTATGCAAAATAGTTATTGAAAAAGAACACATTACCTGTTCAGAACATTTGCTATC